ACTGGTGCGCCGTTTTATCTTGTAACAGGAGCTTGCTCATAATGAACGTTTTTGGGTTAGATCGCGTTATTTATAAATGTGTCGTAACCCTCCACCACCCGACACGGCCAATCAGCAAAAAAGTGTCACGTTGACAAAAGACAAATAGTTCACTGCTTTAGCCCACCGGTGTGTTGAAGCGTGAAACCACAACATTTTCAATTTTTTGAGTAGCGTGACGTTTCGCTGGTAATTGCATCCAGCATCATCGGGCAGTTCGCCAGAATGGCTGAGGCTCTGCTGTGTCTCCCGGTCAACACAACAGGAGCTTGCTTACAGCACTTGCCCCTAACAACATGCAGAGGCTACACGGGGTCGCTTTGTCTTTTGGAAAGTTTTTTTTTTCGTGAATTCCCCGTATAGCCTGAACAGACTCTTGGGGCAAGTGCTGTTAGCAAGGCCAAACACGTCACACGAGGGGGTGGGTGGCCAGCCCCACGCCCGGCCGCCTTTGTCTCCCCGGTGGCGATGTTTACTACACACTGCACCAGGTACTCATTTGAGGCTGAGTGGACGCAGGGAAGGCCCAGGACTGGTTCAGATAATCGTGATTGGTGTAGGCCGCGAGTGGAAATGGATCTCGCGACGCCAAGTTGGTAGCTACACCGCTACACCAACGCTGCCACCACGCCACTCGCACAGCAGAATTGGCATTGAGCAAATAAAACAACAACAACAACAACCGTCATGCTCCATAAAACAGGGTTTTTTGGGTTTTATCGCGTAAATATAGATGTGTCGTTAAACCCGCCACCACCCGTCACAGTCAATTAGTGATGTTTGTCACGTTAACAGAACGTGGCCAATTCGTTACTAATGCAGCACACCGGTTGTGTTGGAAAGCAAATCCACAACGTTTACAATGTGAGTACGACGTTTCGCCAGTTATTACAACTAGCTTCATCAGGCGGCGGCCAGATTTGTAGAGAAATCATCCTGTTCCACACATATTTACGCGATCTAACCCCAAAAAAACCCCTGTATTGTGGATATTGGTCGCGAAAGCTGCACGTTAAACTGATCCGTAATGCTCACATGCAGGCACACAAATCCCCAAGAACTCACTTCAACTGGGAAAAGCTGGCAGGACCCTCCTGAATGAAGAGACTCCTCTGCGAGGCGTTCCCTCGCTTAACAAGCGTGGAGCGATATCTAGGGGATCACATTTTTCTCGCCGGTTTCAAAACGATGGAAAAATAATATGTCGTAACCCCTTTTGCTGGAAATAAAACACATTCCTGCGGAGGGAGCTGGTAGGAACGTTGGGTTGCTTGGTCAATGGCCAGGGCGTGGTGTATTCCGCAAATATGCCCGACTGTGAGGGCGGGCACAAGCCGGCGGGAGTAGGTTAAACGTTAGGTTTTATAAGGGCACCACGGGGTGACCAGCCCCTTCCCACCCAGCCCAGCCCCACCCCACCCCTCCCACCCCCCACCCAGCCCCACCCTCCCCACCCAGGCCCACCCTCCCCACCCAGCCCCTCCCCACCCAGCCCCTCCCCACCCAGCCCCTCCCCACTCAGCCCCCCCCTCCCCACCCAGCCCCTCCCTGCACGACGGACACAATAATGCCCTGTGGGCTGGTGTAACCAGGAGGTTCCTACCAGTATAAATAGATAGATATCTGCCCAACGCGAGCGATAAACGTTCTGATACTCGCATTGATCTTTGCGGCTGTTCGCTTCCTGGTGTTGTGCTCCCCGGTCTGACACTGGTACAAGGCGATAACGACGGATATCTCTGGTGTACGCCAATCAGTTTCAAAGATAATGTGTCTATTAGTATGAGAGCCATATTATTGGTTATTTCGGTAAAGTCACGTAGAAGGGAAATAATAAAATAATAAAAATAAAACAATTACATTTGTTTGTTTTTTCCCCTTCTACGTGACTTTACCGAAAGAACCAAGAATATGAATCCCTGCAGTCACGGAAGCTTTAAATCGAAATTTATCGGAGTGATGTTTTTTCCACAAGTGCTGTGTGCGGTTAATGCGGTTCTTGACGCCTTGCGGAAAGGTTTCTAATTGGGTGCTTGAACAACTTAACACAACTCTTGTTTTATTACTCTTAGGTTTTTTCGGTAAAGTAACGTAGGTAAAAAAATAATAATAAAAATTCATAAATTGAATTTTTTTTATTTCTATTATTTACCGAAAAAACCTAAGAGTATGAATCCTTGCAGTCACGAAAGCTTCAAAGCCTGTTTAATTGCCAGAAAGGGTATAGACCGATTGTTATGATGATGTAATGATATTTATACCACCATTGGCCACTAAGTTTGAAAGTTCAACCTCACTGACCAGGTAAGAACTCGAGAAACCAGGACAGAGTCTCGTTCGCAAGAGTCACCTGGTGGCGACGACATAATCATCATCACCACGGCGCTTGTGCCAGGCTAGGTGCACTTTTGAGGCTATGTTAAAGGAGCTGGCTATTGGCAGGAGGAGTTCACGTGACAGACCCAGGTGTTACGGGTTGAGTGACTGCTGTTGACTGGCAGATTCATACAAAGATCCCCCGTATAGCCTTTGACATACTGGGGGCAAGTGCTGTTAGTAAGGAGCACCTATGAAGGCCGGTACGGCACGCGATGGGGTGGGGTGGCCAGCACCACGCCCGGCCGCCTTTGTCTCCCCAAGAGGCGATGTTGTTTTACAGAATCAGAATCTTTATTTAGACCGCAAAATCCGATGATCCGTGAAGCTCTTTTTCACAGACGTCCAGTCTGGACAGGTCAGAGCAGGGGTCGGGAACCTTTTTGACTGGGAGAGCCATAAAAGCCAAATATTTCTAAATATCTTTCATTGAGAGCCATATAGTATTTTTTACGTATAATAAATTAAATATGTCTTACTTTTAATGCGACTTCTGGTCACGGGACCCGTGACCCGTGAAATTTATCTTCAAAACTAATTTCTGTTTACTTTAAAATGACACAGTATTATTAAGCAATATCACAAGTATTTTAAAATCAGTTCCAAACTGATTTTTTTTCAACTCAAAATTGTCTGGGAGCCATATGCCGTCACCGGAAGAGCCATATATGGCTCGCGAGCCATAGGTTCCCGACCGCTGGGTCAGAGAGTTACGAAAAAAACGATAGAAAAACACGCTCGGAGTTCAACGCGTAGGAAAGCTAAGCAAGTCACGAAAACTAAATAAATAATTAATGAACAAAAGATTATAAGTGCAGTAAAAGCTTGGATTGCGAGTAACTTGGTCTGCGAGTGTTTTGCAAGACGAGCAATTTTTAAAATAAATTTGCTAAACGAGCGAGCTCTTGCAGTACGAGTACTGCAGTACGTATAGTACACGCTTTGTCTGCCGAGCGTCACGTGATCACAACTGAACCGATGGTTCTTCTCTCTCTCTCTCGCTGCGGGATTGTGGGTAATCGTCTCCCATGCTCGGTCTCAGTTGGCGTGCCTCACTCGTATAGTCAACATCCGTGCGAGCGTAGACTGCTCACTATAGTGTTGTGACCACGAGTTTGTGCGTAAAGCATTTTTTTATTTTGTGTCCAAGTGTAGTGACTGTTCTTTAGTAGCTGTCCTGCAAGTGAAAGTCGTCCTACACAATAACACTCCTCTCCTCTCTCTCGTCTCCCTCACACCAGCCACGATTAAATGTAATACATTTTGTTACTTTATATTGAATTTAAATAATAAAATGATAAAAAAAATAATTTTGTATTCATCATTTTTATATGAATACAGTATTTTTGCGTTGTGGAACGCATCATCTGAGTTTCCATGATTTCTTATGGGGAAATTCGCTTTGATATACGAGTGCTTTGGATTACAAACACGTTTCCGGAACGAATTATGCTCGCAATCCAAGGTTTTACTGTACAAATTACTCAAGTGCATCAATTATTTTCGATTATTCAACACGAACTCCCGTGCTTTGCACATCGCACCAGGTACTACTTTCATCGTCACCAGGCGAGGCCCCGCAGAGCCGCGACGCAGAACTCTTTCAGAAGCGACCTGGCGACCGCAAATGATAGCCCAACCAATCGACTTATCACCCTGTGGAAATGTACAGCAGCCACGTCGTCTCAACGCGTGATGCCGATTCTAAATTGTCGAGGGAAATACCAGAGGCCTCGCAGTAAAAACCACGCGACCACGGGGAGAAAGAGAGAGAAACACGCAAACTCCAAATATACAGCAGCAGGTGTTAGGGGTCGGGATCGAACCCACGACCTCCTGTAGACCAGGCGAGGTAGTTAACATCTCGTCGCCACCGTGATGATGATGAGAGAGAGAGACACGCAAGCTCCAAATATACAACAGGCGTCAGGGTCGGGATCGAACCCGCGACCTCCTGTATACCAGGTGAGGTAGTTAACATCTCCGAGCCACTGTGATGATGATGGGGAGAGAGAGATACTGCAAACTCCAAATATACAGCAGCAGGCGTCAGGGTCGGGAGATGAAACCCGCGACCTCCTGTACACCAGGCGAGGAAGTTAACATCTCCTAGCCACCGTGATGATGATGGGAGAGAGAGACACCACAAACTCCAAATATACAGCAGCAGGCGTCAGGGGTCGGGATCGAACCTGCGACCTCGCATGTACCAGGCGAGGTAGTTAACATCTGCTAGCCACCGTGATGATAAGAGAGAGAGACACGCAAACTCCAAATATACAGCAGCAGGCGTCAGGGTCGGGATCGAACCCACGGCCTCCTGCACACCAGGCGAGGTAGTTAACATCTCCTAGCCACCGTGATGATGGGGAGAGAGACACCACAAACTCCAACTATACAGCAGCAGGCGTCAGGGGTCGGGATCGAACCCGCGACCTCCTGTATACCAGGCGAGGTAGTTAACATCTCCTAGCCACCGTGATGATGATGAGAGAGAGAGACACGCAAACTCCAAATATACAGCAGCAGGCAACAGGGTCGGGATGGAACCCACGACCTCCTGTACACCAGGTGAGGTAGTTAACATCTCCTACCCACCGTGATGATGAGAGAGAGACACGCAAACTCCAAATATACAGCAGCAGGCGTCAGGGGTCGGGATTGAACCCGTGACCTCCTGTACACCAGGCGAGGTAGTTAACATCTCCTAGCCACCGTGATTATGATGGGGAGAGAGAGACACCGCAAACTCCAACTATACAGCAGCAGGCGTCAGGGGTCGGGATCGAACCCGCGACCTCCTGTATACCAGGCGAGGTAGTTAACATCTCCTAGCCACCGTGATGATGATGAGAGAGAGAGACACGCAAACTCCAAATATACAGCAGCAGGCAACAGGGTCGGGATGGAACCCACGACCTCCTGTACACCAGGTGAGGTAGTGAACATCTCCTACCCACCGTGATGATGAGAGAGAGACACGCAAACTCCAAATATACAGCAGCAGGCGTCAGGGGTCGGGATCGAACCCGCGACCTCGCGTGTACATCAGGCGAGGTAGTTAACATCTCGGCAGCGCGGTGCCCCTCGGCCTAGGGGAGGGTTTTCATCGTGATCCCAGATGTTGGTGGCCGGGAACGGGAATTGTACTCGGGTCGCCGTTTCGTTGAATTACCATTTGTGGCCAAGTCGCTTCCCGTTAAATAAAAATCTGCATAGCTCAGTGTAACAGTTCGTGTCACAGCTGCGCTAAGGGGCCGTCCATAAATGACGTCACGCGATTTTGGATGATTTTTGACCCCCCCCCTCCTCCCTCGTCACACGGCGTCACAAAAAGTCAGACCCCCCCTCTCAAATATGACGTCACAAAGCTCTGCCCCCCCCCCCCCCAAAATAAAACATGCTTCAAATCGCTTTAAACTATTGTCATTGTAGTGTGTATTTAATGTGGCGCTGCACTCTGATGTTGTAGGATAAAACATTTATTAAAAAGTCTATTTAATTAAGTAGAACGTGTTGTCTACATTTATTTAAAGTTGCGCATTTTGATGTGACGTCACATTTCTCAACCCCCTCCCCCTCGTCACACATCGTCACAAATGTCTGACCCCCCCCCCTAGGTGCGTGACGTCATTTATGGACGGCCCCCAACCACTGCATGGCGCTGTCCATACCGCCCCTCCCCCCTCCCCCCTCTCACCGGCATCACACAGGAAGCGTCCTCCCCGCGCCTCGAGATGCGGGTGACTCATGGGAGGGGCTCCAACCTCCGGCACCTGGGGGTGGGGGCAGGGGGGGTGGGGGCAGAGGGGTGGGGGCAGAGGGGGTGGGGGCAGAGGGGTGGGGCAGGGGGGGTGGGGGCAGAGGGGGATGGGGGCAGAGGGGGTGGGGGCAGAGGGGGGTGGGGGCAGAGGGGGATGGGGGCAGAGAGGGGTGGGGGCAGGAGGGGGGATGGGGGCAGAGGGGGGGGTGGGGGGCATGAGAGGGGTGGGGGCAGAGGGGGTGGGGGCAGAGGGGGTGGGGGCAGGGGGGGTGGGGGCAGAGGGGGGTGGGGGCAGAGAGGGGGTGGGGGCATGAGAGGGGTGGGGGCAGAGGGGGTGGGGGCAGGGGGGTTGTTATGGGCAGTAGGTAAAATGAGTGATGGGGTGGGTGGGTCCGATCTCCGTGCCGTTCACGGCAAATTCGCGCGGGACTTTCCGCGTGTCGCAATCCGTGCTTGAGTCGCGGTACTGTTGGACTTTCTTTCGCACCGTACGTAGCCAACCGTGCTCCAAAAGACAAAGCGACCCCGTGTAGCCTCCGCATGTTGTTGGGGTCAAGTGCTGTAAGCAAGCAAGCGCTTGCTACGAGATAAAACGGCGCTGCAGTGATGGATGTTGGTGGTGGTGGTTGTGGTGAGGTCAGCGCTGTACCCGGCCGCATTTTCGCCTTTCGTCCACACGGCGCCATTCAACTCGGGGGGTGTTTTTTTTGTCAGTAGCGACTCTGTGAGTGAGGGGCCGTCCATAAATGACGTCACGCGATTTTGGCCGATTTTTGACCCCCCCCTCCCCCCCCTCGTCACACAAAGTCAGACCACCCTCCTCAAATATGACGTCACAAAGCTCTGCCCCCCACCCCCCCAAAACCATGTTTCCATTTTGAAAATTAAACATGCTTCAAATCGCTTTAAACTATTGTCATTGTAGTGCGTATTTAATGTGGCGCTGAACTCTGATGTTGTAGGAGAAAACATTTATTAAAAAGGAGGCGTTGGAAAGCTGACATTTTGCATAAAATTCACTTGAAAATATTCAACGTCTAACTAAAACTGCAGATGTTCAGAATATTATATTGAAATCCTCTTATAATTATAAAATATGAAAAGTAATTATAGCTATAATAAAAAAATACTTGAAACTTTGTAGTAGAATGAAGCAAAATGGAGAGTACAATTATAACAATCACATATTCATTCCACAGAATGAAAAGCCCTGGTAGAATCATTCAAATCAAAATGTTTAATAACAATCATTCAAATTACAAAAATTGATGCTTCTCCATTCTCCTATGTCGATGTGGTTTTTATTTTTGAAAACTCATTTAAGGCCGAGTCAACCGAGAGGAGGAGGGCTCAGCTGCGGCCGGGGGATGGCCTCGAGCAGTGCGCTAATCACTGCGCCACCGCTCCTCCTTCCAGGATTGTCAGGTAGGGGGGGGGGGGAAACCCCTCCAGCAATGAGAAATTATCGAGGAGTTGTTAGTAAGAAGTTAGTGAGTAAGGAGTTGTTAGTGTGTAAGGAGTTGTTAGTGTGTAAGGAGTTGTTAGTGTGTAAGGAGTTGTTAGTGTGTAAGGAGTTGTTAGTGAGTAAGGAGTTGTTAGTGTGTAAGGAGTTGTTAGTGTGTAAGGAGTTGTTAGTGTGTAAGAAGTTGTTAGTGTGTAAGGAGTTGTTAGTGTGTAAGGAGTTGTTAGTGAGTAAGGAGTTGTTAGTGTGTAAGGAGTTGTTAGTGTGTAAGGAGTTGTTAGTGTGTAAGGAGTTGTTAGTGTGTAAGGAGTTGTTAGTAAGTAAGGAGTTGTTAGTAAGTAAGGAGTTGTTAGTAAGTAAGGAGTTGTTACTAATTAAGGAGTTGTTAGTAAGTGAGGAGTTGTTAGCAAGTAAGGAGTTGTTAGTAAGTAAGGAGTTGTTACTAATTAAGGAGTTGTTAGTAAGTAAGGAGTTGTTAGTAAGTAAGGAGTTGTTAGTAAGTAAGGAGTTGTTACTAATTAAGGAGTTGTTAGTAAGTGAGGAGTTGTTAGCAAGTAAGGAGTTGTTAGTAAGTAAGGAGTTGTTAGTGAGTAAGGAGTTGTTAGTAAGTGAGGAGTTGTTGGTGAGTAAGGAGTTGTTAGTAAGTGAGGAGTTGTTAGTAAGGAGTTGTTAGTAAGTAAGGAGTTGTTAGCGAGTAAGGAGTTGTTAGCAAGTGAGGAGTTGTTAGTGAGTAAGGAGTTGTTAGTAAGTGAGGAGTTGTTAGTGAGTAAGGAGTTGTTAGTAAGTGAGGAGTTGTTGGTGAGTAAGGAGTTGTTAGTAAGTAAGGAGTTGTTAGTAAGTAAGGAGTTGTTAGCGAGTAAGGAGTTGTTAGCAAGTGAGGAGTTGTTAGTGAGTAAGGAGTTGTTAGTAAGTGAGGAGTTGTTAGTGAGTAAGGAGTTGTTAGTAAGTAAGGAGTTGTTAGTAAGTAAGGAGTTGTTAGTGAGTAAGGAGTTGTTAGTGAGTAAGGAGTTGTTAGTAAGTAAGGAGTTGTTAGTAAGTAAGGAGTTGTTAGTAAGTAAGGAGTTGTTAGTAAGTAAGGAGTTGTTAGTAAGTAAGGACTTGTTAGTAAGTAAGGAGTTGTTAGTGAGTAAGGAGTTGTTAGTGAGTAAGGAGTTGTTAGTAAGTAAGGAGTTGTTAGTGAGTAAGGAGTTGTTAGTAAGTAAGGAGTTGTTAGTAAGTAAGGAGTTGTTAGTAAGTAAGGAGTTGTTAGTAAGTAAGGAGTTGTTAGTAAGTAAGGAGTTGTTAGTGAGTAAGGAGTTGTTAGTAAGTAAGGAGTTCATCTTCTTGGTTCTTTCGGTAAAGTCACGTAGAAGGGAAGTAATAAAATAATAAAAATAAAACATAATAAAACAATTCTCACGACGTTTCGGCCACAACGCAAGCAGCCGTCCTCAGGTGAAAACCAGGTCCGTCGAGGCGACAGAGTCTGAATGAAACAGCACACGAGCTTGGCTTGGAGCATATATATAAGCTCGTGTGCTGTTTCATTCAGACTGTCGCCTCGACAGACCTGGTTTTCACCTGAGGACGGCTGCTTGCGTTGTGGCCGAAACGTCGTGAGAATTATTTAATTATGTTTTATTTTATTATTTTATTACTTCCATTCTACGTGACTTTACCGAACCAAGAAGATTAATCCCTGCAGTCACGAAAGCTTTAAATCGAAAAAGTGTAAGGAGTTGTTAGTAAGTAAGGAGTTGTTAGTACGTAAGGAGTTGTCCCTTGCTTTGTATTCGACGCGTGTGCGGCGATGACGCAGCCATCAATCGAGGGTCGAATTCGAACCGCGCTGTGTGATCGGCATCGCGCTCGCTGCAGCTGTGTGATGCATTCAGTGAAGTCCGGCACTGTCTACGCAACTGCGCACAATTCTGACTCGCTTATAACTACTTTGCCGTTACTTATTGCCAATTATGGACTCAGACTATTGTCCTATCATCTCATATTACTAATAAACCCCAATGATCCGATAAGGAATTTCGATCGGATCATTGGGGGGGGGGGGGGGGGGGGGCACGTGCCACACCACCCCCCCACTGGCTCCGCCAGTGCTCCCACTCGACCGGGGAGTTGCAGGGGGGGGGGGGTCGTCAATTCCACATTCCTGCGGCGTGAGCCAGTTGATGCTCAGGCCGACCGCCGACTGAGCGACGACGCAGAAGGTGACTCACCACGAATGAGGCGAGCGTGGTGAGGGCGGTGATGGCGAAGAGATACTCCCCCATCTCTCTCTTGAAATCACCCCCTCGTCCTCCACGGAGCTCCTTCTCGCCGTGGTGGCTGGGAGCGGTGGGACGCGGTCGCTGTGGTGGCTGGGAGCGGTGGGATTCTCTCTCTCGAAGCGGTCAATGTAGTCGTCCCAGCCCTCCCCGGGCGGTGCTACACCTCCTGAAGTCGGCAACTTCCGATGGAGATTTAAACTCGGAACAGCTCTCCGACGACTCCTCCTCCTCCTCCAAGGTGCCGTTGAAGTCCCTCTCGGCCACAAACTCGCCGAGCGAGTTGGCGAGTTGGTGTGAGCCGGCGTGGTGGCGAGCTGAGCGATTAAGGGGCAGGAGGAGGATGATGATGATAATGATGAGCAGGAGGCGACGTGGAGGCGGTCACATCTCTCTCACCACGCCCCTTTCTCAACACTCCCCCTCCCCTTCTCACCACTCCCCCTCCTCCTCCCACCCACCCCTACAAATAATTGAACGAAGATGGCATTCGTTCATTCCACCCCCCCCAGTGCGCGTACAGAGGGATTGTGAATCATAATTAATTTGTTAACATATCTGAGAAGGTATTGGTTGGGGTAGATGGACGGACGGACGGACGAACTGAATGATGCCTCTTTTTAAAAAAAAACGAATTACGCCGCTTACAAAAAACATGTAACGGAACATGGGGGTGGGGGGGGGGCAACACGCTTCCTAGTTTACTCACGAACCTCAGCCTACGATCTTTAACCTTGGGGGGTTTGGGGGTGGGGGGCGCCGATCGCGTGGTTCGGGGGGGGGGGGGGCTGCGTCGTTGTTGGCAGCGAGTCGAGGGACCTCCATCCTTTCTAAGAAGCTCACTTGAGCCAATCGGCGTCGTTGAGTCATCTCGATGACACCACCCACCTGTCAAACGGTGACGCCCCCCCCCAATCCAAACGACGATGCCCCCCCCCCCGTCCTCACCTGAGGCACGACCCCTGACCCATAGGCGGAATTTGAATTTGGGGGGTGGGTGGGCAGGGGTTCGCTTTGTCGCTCACATTAAGAATCGCGGGTGCATATAATTGATGTATTTTCAATCTTAATTGTAAACTGCTGAAGTTAAATTTATAAAAGTTTTCGGGGGGGGGGGCATTGCCCACCAACCCCGTGCCCCCCAAACTTGGCCCATGCCCTGACCCCACGCTGGCCTCCGTGAATTACCAAGAATGTCAACGCGTTCGTGCGTAGGGGGCGGTGCAGGTGGTGCATCGGCCACTCATCGCAGTCAGTCGACCTGTGGCACCTGGGTCTGCCCAGTGACCTCCTGCCAGCAGCGGGCGTTCGACACTTCGCGTGGCCTCAACGTGCACCTAGCCTGGCACGAGCGCCGTGGTGACGTCACTGCCACTTAGTGGCGAGTGGCGGTTGTTGTTGTTGTTGGTCTTCTCTTCTGCACAGCCCAATGCCGTGAGTGAGATGTGAGGAGACCGGGGATTTTTTTGTTCAGAGATTCGGTTCAGGGGCGGGTGATGAGTTTGCCAAACAGACGCGGGTATCGGAAATTAGTCATTGGTAACATCGTAACCACAGTAACCACCACCACCATCGTAACCTCCACCATTGTCACCACCACCATCGTCACCACCACCACTATTGTCACCACCACCATTGTCACCACCACCATTGTCACCACCACCATTGTCACAACCACCATCGTAACCACAGTAACCACCACCACCATCGTAACCACCACCATTGTCACCACCACCATCATTGTCACCACCACCACCATTGTCATCACCAGCACCATCATCACTCACACACACAACAACAACCGCCATTCGCCACTAAGTGGCGGTGACGTCACCACGACGTGCACCTTGAGGCCACGTGATGTGTCGAACGCCCGCTGGCACGAGGTCACGGGGCAGACCCAGGTGCCACGGATCGACTGAGATGACTGGCTGATGCACCACCTGTGCCCCTTACTGTGCTAACTTGCTGTGCTTTAGCCATCCGGCGCTCCGCTCGTTGTTGTGAGCGTCGCTCCCCGCCCTCTGTTGTTGTTGGAGGGCGACTGCTTCCAACTGCCCAGTAGCGTCCTTCACGAGCCTCCTCCACTGAGGCCGATCTTGACACCGCTGGTACCAGTCATCGGCAAGTCCACTCAGCTACATATCCTGTACCACATCACTCGATCTCTTCTCTATCCCGTGCCGTGCCCGTTTAGCCTCCTCTATCCGGCCGAACAAAAGCTGTCTAGGCATTCGGTGGCTGGGCATGCGGGCTACATGACCCAGCCAACGCAGCCTTACCTGCCGGAGGAGCTCACCGATGGGACTTTGCCCAGATCTTTCACTCACATACTCTCACTCACACTCACTTACACACTCACTCACAACCACTCACACCCACTCACACACTTACACACTCACTCACACACTCTCACTCACACTCACTCACACTCACTCACATACTCTCACTCACTTACACACTCACTCACACACTCTCACTCACTCACACTCTCACTCACACACTCTCACTCACACTCACTCACACATTCTCTCTCCCACTCACTTACACACTCACTCACATCCACTCACACCCTCTCACACACTCTTACTCACATACTCTCACTTACACACTCTCACTCACACACTCTCACTTACACTCTCACTCACACTCACCCACACATTCTCTCTCCCACTCACACACTCACTCACATCCACTCACACACTCTGACTCACACACTCTCACTTACACACTCACTCACATCCGCGTGCTGCTAACCTCTCGTGGTGTGCAGGAAGATCGCTGGTTCGAGCCCGACCCTGGCGCCTTCTGTACATTTAGAGATTGCGGTTTCTCGCTCTCCGTGGATTTTTCTCCACTTCCTCCGGTTCCCCCCTCAACATTTAGGACGAACGTCGTTGAGATATAATGTGTGGCCAGGTCGCTTTTTTAAAAAGATCTATATAGCTCAGTGGTAAAATAAAAGTTTAGTTTTAATTTAGCGCGCTGTGCTACGAACCCGGCGACTCGAGTTCTATTTGCGCTCCCGACCAACACCAGTGATGGCTATCTGAATGTGTCCTGGACCGCCCCTAGGTCGACTCAGCCTCAAATGAGTACCTGGTGCAGTGTTCAAATATCGCCACTGGGAGTCAGACGGCCCGGCAGGGGGCTGGCTACCCACCCCCTCGTGTGCCGTGCCGGCCTTCATAGGCGCTACTCGCTAACAGCACTTGCCCCTACAGTCTGTTATGGCTACACGTGGGAATCTTGGTCTTGGTGTGTATGCGCGTGCTTGTGGCCACGTGTGTGTGCACGCGCGCGCAATCGTGAGGACTCATGCCCCTTCTAACAAGCATGTTTTATTTACGGTCCACCGAGTCGCAGACTTACTCTTTGGAGGCAACACATTTATTAACACCAACACATTAACACAAAGGGGTTACTGCCCCTTTACCAGATAACCTAGGGTGGTGGACCACCAGGCTGACTACGCTAGTTCCTGGGAGTAGCTACAACAGACAGGACCCAAGCTTGGGTCCTCGCCCACGTGTTGGTAACTTCTTCTTGGACGACGTAGAACATAGATCGTAGATCTTCAGATGACAACAGCAACGCAGAGCCCCGGTCCCTGTGGGGACCCGGTGTATATGCTCACGGGTCGTGGCTGGCCCCGCCCTTGGCCACGCCCACCTTCGAGAAACCTCCTGGGGTTTCTCGACCCTTCCCGTAGGATCTCACCCCCAGGCACGTGACCACCCCCTAGCCCCCACCTGGGCCCCTGTGTAATCTTACTGGTCACGTGCCTTCCGGGGTCAACCAGAGTGCCATGGCCTAGGGTAACCTCATCCCATGGCCGATACTCCCACACTCCCTCCTGTAGGGGTCAGCACTGCACGCCTCGCGTGGTGTCACTGAGCGCTCACGGAGCCCCCTTTAGGGCTGGTACTACACCCACCTACGGGGTGTCCGCGATGACAATGCATCGCACGCCGTGTCTTACTAAAGCCGGCATTAATCAGCGACATTCACGATGTCGCTACACACGTGGGTGCCCGCGATGTGAGTACATCGCATGCCGTGCCGTTCTAGGGCCAGCACCACAGTGACATCTGAGATGTTATAATATAATAAATTCAGACGCACAAACTGCAGAGGGCTTCTTTATTATTTCTCGACGACTTACAGTGAGTGTAACTTAGCGCTGACTGCCTATATAGCCGGCTGACGATACAGCGGCGACAGCGATGACAGCGACGACGAACCCCCACGGCAGCCCAGAACCCAATTCCACTCCGCATTTTATCCCCCCAGCGTGGCCATGCCCCGCCCCTGGCCACGCCCCTCTTCTCGAACTCTCCCGCGGGTTCTAGGAGCTTCCAGATCGATCCCCTTTTTGACCCTTGCCCTAGTTGCCTCCCCTTGTGGTCGCTTGCGTGCATACTCTCATGGTTGTTTGTGTATTGCTCCCCCAACCGTAATTTGCCCTTACGGCCGCTAGTCGGCGCACCATCTCTACACTAGTATCACACATCAATATACACATTTATTTGAACAAAGCTTCTTTTTTTTGTCAAATCGCGACACAATTTATAACACTGAACGTATGGCCATTTCAAATACATTCGCAGGCGGTGCCCCGTTTCACGAGCGATTCTTTCCACGAGAATGCCGCCATCAACGAGCCAATTTTAATTGAGACCGATTTGTTCGCAGAACGAGCAAAATGTTCGCATAACGAGCGGCGGCCGGCAGAGGGCGCACCGCGGCCCACAGCTGTTTGGTGACCAACCGTGCTGGGCCACGTGATGCAGCGCACGTGATTCACCATGTGGGGGGATGGGGGGGGGGGGCTCATGGTGGCACTGTCATGGCGGGCAGGGGTGGGGGGAGGCTAATTGATGATGCTGTGGAAAGGCACCTGCAAGCATCACATTCGATGTTTTATTGATTTTAAAATTATAACTTTGTGAGAGAAAAAAAGTTGCGCAAGAGTCGATGTGAAAAGCGGCGATCGTTTTCACGACACGTTCGCCCGACGAGCAATTTACTCGGGAGACGTAGAGCTCCCCTCGTCACACGGCGACGATGCGCCTGTGCAAGTGACTGCATTCCGACTTACGAGCCGTTCGACCGATGAACGGCTCTCGGGGACGGAAACCCGTTACGTCAGTCGGGGGGGACCGCCCGGACCCTGCCGGCTATTGCGTTAAGTCTCCGTTGCTGTGACACCGCACGCGAAACAGAACGGACCTCTGCCATTCTGAATCGGCCACTCGAACCCTCGACTCCTCGCGCTGACAGTAACAGACTCGGACGAAACTTCAAGTAATGCCCAGAATAGGCGGGAAATAGTTTATGAATACAAAATGCAAATACTATAGTACAAATCAGACAATACATTATGTTAAATATACAGAAGGTTTACAGTGCACGTTCACACTCATGCCCCCCCTTCCCCACTAGGGGGGTCCGGGTCCTCTCCGTCCGGTGTGTCTGCACGAAGCGGCTCGGTTTCGCCTCCGTTGATTCTCATTACGTTCTCGTTGCCGATCTGACAGTGCTCCGTCCTGATGTTGATGACGGTCCCGCCTGCAGGCACGACACGGGGACACGGGCAGGGGTGGGGGGGGGGGGCGGCGGTGTTGGTGAAAGGGAGGGGTCAGAGTGCCGAGGGCCTGGGCTCGACTCCGCGTGTCGCCCGGAGACTCAACTGGGCTCCCCGCCCCCTCTCTCTCGCCCCCCCCCTCTCTCTGGCCCCCCCTCTCTCCCTCTCGCCCCCCCTCTCTCTCGCCCCCCTCTCTCTCTCTTGCCCCCCCTCTCTCTCGCCCCCCCCTCTCTCTCTGTCTCGCCCCCCCCTCTCTTGTTGGGTCTCAAGGGCCAATGAGTGCTCCCCAGAGACACTGAACCCCCCCCCACCACCTCCCCTCCAATGTTTGTTTTTTCTGGTTAACCCAGAAACCCGTTCCATTGGGGAGATGGGAGTCTGGACGAAGAGGAGGCAGGAGGAGGTGGCCACGTGGTGCGTCCAGAGGCCACAGGCGCCGAGTACCTGGGATCGACTCCAGGTGTTTCTGCCGCTACCCGCTATGAAACCGGGGCCTGGTCTCTTTGGGCTCTCACCGAGTCTCACTAAATCAGCACCATGGCCAGCGAGTGCAAAAACAAACAACGGATTTGGCAAAGTTCTGTCTGTGAGCGAGCGCGACGCTGAGTCTGTGTGAATTACTCACCATTTGGGGGACGTTCTTCTGTCGGTGGCTGCAAGACACAAAGGCGACACAGTCCGGGGTTTAATCTCAAATCGTTGGCACCCAACGCAAGTGAATCATGGCGACGAGCTCATGCCAGGCTAGGTGCACGTTGAAGCCTTCGTGTGGAGTGCTGAGTCCCTGTGGGTGGTGAGTCTCTGTGGGTGGTGAGTCTCTGTGGGTGGTGAGTCTCTGTGGGTGGTGAGTCTCTGTGGGTGGTGAGTCTCTGTGGGTGGTGAGTCTATGTGGGTGGTGAGTCTCTGTGGGTGGTGAGTCTCTGTGGGTGGTGAGTCTCTGTGGGTGGTGAGTCTCTGTGGGTGGTGAGTCTCTGTGGGTGGTGAGTCCCTGTGGCTGGTGAGTCTCTGTGGGTGGTGAGTCTTTGTGGGTGGTGAGTCTCTGTGGGTGAGTCTCTGTGGGTGGTGAGTCTCTGTGGGTGGTGAGTCCCTGTGGGTGGTGAGTCCCTGTGGGTGGTGAGTCCATGTGGGTGGTGAGTCTCTGTGGGTGGTGAGTCTCTGTGGGTGGTGAGTCTCTGTGGGTGGTGAGTCTCTGTGGGTGGTGAGTCCCTGTGGGTGGTGAGTCTCTGTGGGTGGTGAGTCTCTGTGGGTGGTGAGTCTCTGTGGGTGGTGAGTCTCTGTGGGTGGTGAGTCTCTGTGGGTGGTGAGTCTCTGTGGGTGAGTCTCTGTGGGTGGTGAGTCTCTGTGGGTGGTGAGTCCCTGTGGGTGGTGAGTCCATGTGGGTGGTGAGTCTCTGTGGGTGGTGAGTCCCTGTGGGTGGTGAGTCTCTGTGGGTGGTGAGTCTCTGTGGGTGGTGAGTCTCTGTGGGTGGTGAGTCTCTGTGGGTTGTGAGTCTCTGTGGGTGGTGAGTCTCTGTGGGTGAGTCTCTGTGGGTGGTGAGTCTCTGTGGGTGGTGAGTCCCTGTGGGTGGTGAGTCTCTGTGGGTGGTGAGTCTCTGTGGGTGGTGAGTCTCTGTGGATGGTGAGTCCCTGTGGGTGGTGAGTCTCTGTGGGTGGTGAGTCTCTGTGGGTGGTGAGTCTTTGTGGGTGGTGAGTCTCTGTGGGTGGTGAGTCTCTGTGGGTGGTGAGTCTCTGTGGGTGAGTCTCTGTGGGTGGTGAGTCTCTGTGGGTGGTGAGTCCCTGTGGGTGGTGAGTCCATGTGGGTGGTGAGTCTCTGTGGGTGGTGAGTCCCTGTGGGTGGTGAGTCTCTGTGGGTGGTGAGTCTCTGTGGGTGGTGAGTCTCTGTGGGTGGTGAGTCTCTGTGGGTTGTGAGTCCCTGTGGGTGGTGAGTCTCTGTGGGTGGTGAGTCTCTGTGGGTGGTGAGTCTCTGTGGGTGGTGAGTCTCTGTGGGTGGTGAGGAGCGGTGGGTGGTGAGTCTCTGTGGGTGGTGAGTCTCTGTGGGTGGTGAGTCTCTGTGGGTGGTGAGTCTCTGTGGGTGGTGAGTCCCTGTGGGTGGTGAGTCTCTGTGGGTGGTGAGTCCCTGTGGGTGGTGAGTCTCTGTGGGTGGTGAGTCTCTGTGGGTGGTGAGTCTCTGTGGGTGGTGAGTCTCTGTGGGTGGTGAGTCTCTGTGGGTGGTGAGTCTCTGTGGGTGGTGAGGAGCTGTGGGTGGTGAGTCTCTGTGGGTGGTGAGTCTCTGTGGGTGGTGAGTCTCTGTGGGTGAGTCTTTGTGGGTGGTGAGTCTTTGTGGGTGGTGAGTCTCTGTGGGTGGTGAGTCTCTGTGGGTGGTGAGTCTCTGTGGGTGGTGAGGAGCGGTGGGTGGTGAGTCTCTGTGGGTGGTGAGTCTCTGTGGGTGGTGAGTCTCTGTGGGTGGTGAGTCTCTGTGGGTGAGTCCCTGTGGGTGGTGAGGAGCTGTGGGTGGTGAGTCCCTGTGGGTGGTGAGTCTCTGTGGGTGGTGAGTCTCTGTGGATGGTGAGTCTCTGTGGGTGGTGAGTCCCAGTGGGTGGTGAGGAGCTGTGGGTGGTGAGTCTCTGTGGGTGGTGAGTCTCTGTGGGTGGTGAGTCTCTGTGGGTGGTGAGTCTCTGTGGGTGGTGAGTCCCTGTGGGTGGTGAGTCTCTGTGTGTGGTGAGTCTCTGTGGGTGGTGAGTCTCTGTGGGTGGTGAGTCTCTGTGGGTGGTGAGTCTCTGTGGGTGAGTCCCTGTGGGTGGTGAGGAGCTGTGGGTGGTGAGTCTCTGTGGGTGGTGAGTCCCTGTGGGTGGTGAGTCTCTGTGGGTGGTGAGTCTCTGTGGGTGGTGAGTCTCTGTGGGTGGTGAGTCTCTGTGGGTGGTGAGTCTCTGTGGGTGGTGAGTCTCTGTGGGTGGTGAGTCTCTGTGGGTGGTGAGTCTCTGTGGGTGGTGAGTCTCTGTGGGTGGTGAGGAGCTGTGGGTGGTGAGGAGCTGTGGGTGGTGAGTCTCTGTGGGTGGTGAGTCTCTGTGGGTGGTGAGTCCCTGTGGGTGGTGAGTCTCTGTGGGTGGTGAGTCTCTGTGGGTGGTGAGTCTCTGTGGGTGGGGAGTCTCTGTGGGTGGTGAGTCTCTGTGTGTCGTGAGTCTCTGTGGGTGGTGAGTCTCTGTGGGTGGTGAGTCTCTGTGGGTGGTGAGTCTCTGTGGGTGGTGAGTCTCTGTGGGTGGGGAGTCTCTGTGGGTGAGTCCCTGTGGGTGGTGAGGAGCTGTGGGTGGTGAGTCTCTGTGGGTGAGTCTCTGTGGGTGGTGAGTCTCTGTGGGTGGTGAGTCTCTGTGGGTGAGTCCCTGTGGGTGGTGAGGAGCTGTGGGTGGTGAGTCTCTGTGGGTGGTGAGTCCCTGTGGGTGGTGAGTCTCTGTGGGTGGTGAGTCTCTGTGGGTGGTGAGTCTCTGTGGGTGGTGAGTCCTGTGGTCTGTGGGTGGTGAGTCTCTGTGGGTGGTGAGTCTGTGGGTGGTGAGTCTCTGTGGGTGGTGAGTCTCTGTGGGTGGTGAGTCCCTGTGGGTGGTGAGTCTCTGTGGGTGGTGAGTCCCTGTGGGTGGTGAGTCTCTGTGGGTGGTGAGTCTCTGTGGGTGGTGAGTCCCTGTGGGTGGTGAGTCTCTGTGGGTGGTGAGTCTCTGTGGGTGGTGAGTCTCTGTGGGTGGTGAGTCTCTGTGGGTGAGTCTCTGTGGGTGGTGAGTCTCTGTGGGTGGTGAGTCTCTGTGGGTGAGTCTCTGTGGGTGGTGAGTCTCTGTGGGTGGTGAGTCTCTGTGGGTGGTGAGTCTCTGTGGGTGGTGAGTCTCTGTGGGTGGTGAGTCTCTGTGGGTGAGTCTCTGTGGGTGAGTCCCTGTGGGTGGTGAGGAGCTGTGGGTGGTGAGTCTCTGTGGGTGGTGAGTCCCTGTGGGTGGTGAGTCTCTGTGGGTGGTGAGTCTCTGTGGGTGGTGAGTCTCTGTGGGTGGTGAGTCTCTGTGGGTGAGTCCCTGTGGGTGGTGAGGAGCTGTGGGTGGTGAGTCTCTGTGGGTGGTGAGTCCCTGTGGGTGGTGAGTCTCTGTGTGTGGTGAGTCTCTGTGGGTGGTGAGTCTCTGTGGGTGGTGAGTCTCTGTGGGTGGTGAGTCTCTGTGGGTGAGTCTCTGTGGGTGGTGAGTCCCTGTGGGTGGTGAGTCTCTGTGGGTGGTGAGTCTCTGTGGGTGGTGAGTCTCTGTGGGTGGTGAGTCTCTGTGGGTGAGTCCCTGTGGGTGGTGAGGAGCTGTGGGTGGTGAGTCTCTGTGGGTGGTGAGTCTCTGTGGGTGGTGAGTCTCTGTGGGTGAGTCTCTGTGGGTGAGTCCCTGTGGGTGGTGAGGAGCTGTGGGTGGTGAGTCTCTGTGGGTGAGTCTCTGTGGGTGGTGAGGAGCTGTTTGTGGTGAGGAGGTGTTCCTCACCGGCGTGATCACATTGACCAGTTCCTTGGTTTGGCACCATCTTATGGGACGCGACCAGCGATGACGTCCTAAGCAACACGGCACAGCACACGGTCTCAACCACAGGGGCTCTCATCAGCAGTGCCAGCTCATAGCCATCGTAAACACGCGGAGGATTCGTGTCAGCACCAAGGCTCGTTGCAAATGGGTGATGGGAGGATGATGATGATACTGATGGCGTTGGTCGTGATTAAGAAGTTGGTGAAGTTGTTTGACGGTGGTAGTAGTAATTATGAATGTAATCATAGTGGCTATGAAGGAATGAATTGTTTGTTGACCGACTCTCTGTGTTGCATTGCATTACATTTTCAAAGTTTTTTGATTTAGTGTGTTTTCTCTCTCTCTCTCTGTGTCTTCGTGTTGTAGTATTTCCTGCAGTCAAAAAAGCTCCGAATCTCGCATTGACATGCGAATTTCTCTACCCCCCCCCTCTCTATTTAAGGCCTCGACACAGAGGCGTTGTTTCTCTGTGTGCCTATGTGTGTGTCTCTCTCGGTGTGTCTCTGTGTTGTCTCTCTCTGCTTGTGTGTCTGTCTGTGTGTCTATGTTGTGTCTCTCTCTGTGTGTCTCTGTGTGTCTCTGTGTGTCTCTGTGTTGTCTCTCTCTGCTTGTGTGTCTGTCTGTGTGTCTCCGTGTCTGTGTTTTGGAAGAACGTTAATCAACCAGGTATGGTGTTGACTGTTATGTTAGCCGAATCTCTGTGTTGTATTATATTATATTTCTAAGTTTACTATGTTTGTTTTCTCTTTCACTTGTACCTGATGATGGTTGCTTGTGTTGCAATCGAAACGTCGTATGCTAGTATTTAATTTATTTATTTTCTACGTGACTTTACCGAAACAACCAAAGAGCAAGGAGTGAGTGATTGAGATGATGGGTGTGGCGAGGTGGGTGGTGTTGTGAGTGTGATGATGATGACGATGATTGGTGTGACGAGGTGATGAGTTGTACTGTGTGATGATGATGATGCTCACTTTTGTATAAGAACAGGGTTATGAAGATCACCACGATCACGATCACGATCACTCCAACACCGACGGAAGCAATGAGGACTGAGGAGAACAGACAACACAAAGAGTCACCCACCAGCTCGCTCGTCTGCCTGCTCGTTCGCTCGCTCGCCCACCCGCTCATCTGCCCGCTCGCTCGCTCGACCATTCACTCGTTGACTCACTCTCCAACCCGTTCACTCACTGATTCACTCCCCAACACATTCACTCACCGCTGCACTCATTCTGTGTAAATGTTTGTTGTGTCCGTGTCTCCGTGCGTCTCCGCGGGCCCCCGTGTGTCTCTGCGTGTGTTCGTGCCTCAGCTTGTGTCTCCGTGTGTGTCCGTGTGTCTCCACGTGTGTCCGTGTGTCTCCACGTGTGTCTCCGTGGGTCTCTGCGGGCCCCCGTGTGTCTCTGCGAGTGTCCGTGCCTCAGCTTGTGTCTCCGTGTGTGTCCGTGTGTCTCCACGTGTGTCTCCGTGTGTGTCCGTGTGTCTCCACGTGTGTCTCTGTGTGTGTCCGTGTGTCTCCACGTGTGTCTCCCTGTGTCTCCGTACCCATGGGATAATTCTGCTTATGACAGATGGCATCCACTTCCTGGGTTCCGTTGATGAACGTTGACATTCCCAGATCATCACAGCTGCAGAGAGACACACAAACACACACAAGCCCCATCACCACCACCGCCGCGTGGATGCAGGGAGCAGTGAGACCATGGCGCACATCAACTTTGGCGGTGAAGTCCGTCCGGGCGTGCCGGAGCGGAACTGGTCACCCTGCACACGCAGGAGTGGGTGGCTCTGTGGCTACGTGGGGCTGACGTTCACTCACGATATGACACCGACATACGTGTGTGTGTGTGTGTAAGCATTTATTTAAGGAGATTTTATTTTTTACGTGCGGCTGGTGCACTGTGTGAAAGTCACGTTTTCAGTAAAAGCGTCTCCCGAGTAATCCAGTCACCGCCGCCGCCGTTACCACCATCAACGACAACAGCAGCCGCCATTCGCCACCACGCGGCGGTGACCTCACCACGGCGCTTGTGCCAGGCTATGTGCCACGTGAAGTGTCGAACGCCCGCTGGCAGGAGGTCAAGGGGCAGACCCAGGTGCCATGGGTCGACTGACTGAGATGACAGACGGTAGGTGGCCAGCATCCTAAACCCGGCCGTCTTTGTCTCCCTCGTGGCGACGCACCAGATACTCATTTGAAGCCGAGTCGACCTAGGGGAGGCCCAGGACCGGTTCAGATAGTCGTCACCGGTGTTGGCCGTGAGCAGGAATCGAACTCGGGTCGCCGGGTTCGTAGCGCTAACCGCTACACCACCACTCCCCGACTCTCACCACCGCCGCTACCACCACCACAGCCACGGCACTCACCGCGTGTGCTCCCTGCAGGGCAGCGTGGCGGACGTGGAGTCGGAGTAGGAGCCGGGTGGGCAGGGGATGCAGGAGCTGGGCTCCGGGGGGGGCCCGGGCTGCTGCCCCGGGGGGCACAGCGGCTGCCCCTGGCAGAGCGGGCAGTCGGGGCTCACGCAGTGCAGGCCGGGGCGGCAGCGGCACTCCGCGTCGGCCTGCGCACCGCACGGCCGCCCCTCCTCGAAGCCGGCACCTGCTCCAGGGTGACAAGGGGAGGGGGGAAGCAGGGGTGGGGGCAGCAGGGCAGGGGTGGGGGCAGCAGGGCAGAGTAAGGGCAGGGAACATGGGGAGGGAGCAGGGGGGGGAGGAGGAGGGGGTCAGAGGTTATTCTACAACTTCTTGGTCATAGCTGCCTGCGATTGGACAGGATAAGTCACATGTGGCTTATTGTGCAGTCAATTCCTGGTTACAAATGTGATCAGTTCGGTTCCTGAAGAAGCCCCCCAGGAGGTGGTGAGAAACGTCGGACACCGTGCCGAATGCGGTGGCACATCCATCGTGATCGCTGGTTGGTTGCGCTGTGTGGCGTGCGTGGCTGGTGCATGGTCAAGTTATAAACTACTAAACTATTTTAAACTTTACCAGGTAAGGTCCCACTGAGCTATGTAGCTCTTTTTCAGAAGCGACCTGGCTCTCACGAATGATACCCCAACGAAGTGGCTTATCGTCACGTGCAAATTCATAGCAGCCAAATACTCCACACGGACCTTGCTAAATGTGGAACGAAAAACCAGAGGACCCAGAGAAAAATCCACATGACCACAGGGAGAGAGACACGCAAACTCCTAATATACAGCAGCAGCAGGCGTCAGAGTCAGGATCGAACCCACGACCTCCTGTACACCAGGCGAGGGAGTTAACATTTCCTAGCCACCGTGTGACTCGCGCGTGTCTCGTGAGTGGTACCTGCGTCGCATCTCCTGCACCTGCGGCAGGCGTGATCGGTGTTGGTGTGCTCCATGAAGGAGCCGTGTGGGCACGGGGTGCAGGTCCCGGTCTCCAGCTGCAAGAAACAGCCTGGGGCCGCACAAACATCGTTCACATCACCACCATCATCATCATCACCATCACCACAAACATCGTTCACATCATCATCACCATCACAAACATCGTTCACATCACCACCACCATCATCATCACCATCACCACAAACATCGTTCACATCATCATCACCATCACAAACATCGTTCACACCATCACCACCACCACCACCACAAACATCGTTCACATCATCACCACCACCACCACCACAAACATCGTTCACACCACCACCATCACCACCACCACCACAAACATTGTTCACATCATCACCACCACCACCACAAACATCGTTCACACCACCACCACCACCATCATCACCACCACCACCATCACCACCACCGACTCTTCCATCCTCACCACAATGGGTGGATGTGCAGTACACACCACAGACTGCAGTGACTCACCTGGGAGACATCGGATGTCCCACGGCCCCGGCAAGGTGCACGGAGGCGACGTGACCGGAGTCCCACCCACACACAGCATCTAGACATGGTGAGAGACGCACAGGTGAGTCACAGGTGAGACACAGGTGAGAGACACACGTGACAAGCACAGGTGAGAGGCAGCTGACATAGGTGAGACACAGGTGAGAGACACGGGAGACAGGTGAAAGACACAGGAGGGAGACACAGTAGGGAGACAGGTGAGACAGGCGAGAGTGACAGATGAGAGCCTTGGATGAGGGACACAGTTTAGAGAGACAGGTGAGAGACGCAGGTGAGAGTGGCAGGTAAGGGACACAGGTGAGAGGCACAGGTGAGAGAGGCACAGGTGAGAGAGGCACAGGTGAGAGAGGCACAGGTGAGAGAGGCACAGGTGAGAGAGGCACAGGTGAGAGGCAGCAGAGGCACGAGAGGCACGCGAGTCTATATCCCGAGTGCAACCGCTAGGGGTCGCTGGCTGCCCGCTGCCTGCGGTATTGAAATTCGAGGTGCTGTGCACAGGGCCCACAACGTCAATTGGCCCGCAACAAACAGCACTGTCGCAGTCGTGGTGGCTCAGGGCGGTTGTGGCACGGCACAAAGTCCACTGCGCTCAGCGAGGGTCTTGCTGTGAGAGGGTCTTGCTGTGAGAGGGTGCGGGGGAAGTGGGGGGGAGAGATGGCGACGATGATGGGAGGAGCGGATTCCAGAGTGCGAGTGGGACCTGCGTTGTGGTGAGTGGGTGGGTGGGTGAGTGGGTGAGTGGGTGAGTGAGTGGGTGGGTGGGTGGGTGAGTGGGTGGGTGGGTCGGTGAGTGAGTGGGTGGGTGAGTCGGTGAGTGGGTGGGTTAGTGGGTGAGTGGGTGAGTGGGTGGGTGAGTGAGTGGGTGGATGAGTGGGTGGGTGGGTGAGTGGGTGGGTGAGTGGGTGGGTGAGTGGGTGAGTGGGTGGGTGAGTGGGTGGGTGGGTGAGTAGTGGGTGGGTGGGTCGGTGAGTGAGTGGGTGGGTGAGTCGGTGAGTGGGTGAGTTAGTGGGTGAGTGGGTGGGTGAGTGATTGGGTGGATGAGTGGGTGGGTGGGTGAGTGGGTGGGTGGGTGGGTGAGTGGGTGGGTGAGTGGGTGGGTGAGTGGGTGGGTGGGTGAGTAGTGGGTGGGTGGGTCAGGGGTGAGTGGGTGGGTAGGTGAGTGGGTGAGTGGGTGGGGGGTGAGTGGGTGGGGGTGAGTGGGTGGGGGTGAGTGGGTGGGGGTGAGTGGGTGGGGGTGAGTGGGTGGGGGTGAGTGGGGAGTGGGGGAGTGGGTGAGTGGGTGGGTGAATGAGTGGGTGGGGGTGAGTGGGTGGGTGGTGGGTGGTGGGTGAGTGGGTGGGTAGTTGAGTGTGTGGGTCAGGAGTGAGTGGGTGGGTGGTGAGTAAGTGAGTGGGTGAGTGAGTGGGAGAGTGAGTGGGTGGTGATTGAGTGGGTGGGTGAGTGAGTGGGTGGGTGAGTGGTGGGTGGGTGGGTCAGGGGTGAGTGGGTGGGTAGGTCAGTGGGTGGGTGAGTGGGTGGTTGGGTGGGGGGTGAGTGGGTGGGGGTGTGTGAGTGGGTAGTGGGTGGGTGAGTGAAAAATGCAGGTGCCTATACAGGTGAGTGTGTGTGTATATATAGTAGGTGACGCCTATCCAGACGAATTAGCTTCGGGGCACTGAGGTGGAGTAGGTGGAGACGGGGGCGGCACGGGCCGAGAGGCAGTAAGAAAATTCCCCGTGACTCATGTGATGTACCTACGCACATCACCAGGGTGTGGACCGTACAAAAAGTCCAAAGGTGTAAATCAGAGCCAAAAGCCACCAAACAGAAACAGCTGCCATAGAGACGAAGACGATCAACAACATACCACCCAGCCCCCCACATTCAGTGCCTGGATCTAAGCCCCGCGTGTCCCTGCTCCCAGGTATCTCTGGTCCCCAGGTGTGACCCCCGATTCCAGGTCTCCCTGGTCCCAGGTGTCTCTGGTCCCAGGTCTCCCTGCTCCCAGGTGTTCTCAGTCCCCAAGTGTGACCCCCGATTCCAGGTGTCCCTGGCCTTCACGTGGAGACTCACCACCGCGGCAAGCAGAGCGTAGATTGCGACCACCATTCTCTCTCTCTCTGCCAGGTCACGGGTACCTTCCCTGACCGAGCAGGCTGGGTTGGGTGGCGAACCTTGGCCCGGTCCTGCGAGTGGACAGCAACATGGCGAGCATTGGGCCAGGGTCAGTGGGTTGGGTGCGTTCTGTGTGTCCTACGTCTGTGTCTGTTTCATCCATGTGTTTTGTCTGTGTGCGCTTATGCATGTGTCTGTCTGCACGTGTCTACTATGTGTGTGTGTCTGTCTTTCTGTGTCTTTTGTGTGTCTATGCCTTTGTGTGTCTTTGTGTGTGTGTGTCTATGTCTGTACGTGTCTACTATGTGTGTGTGTCTGTGTCTTTGTGTGTCTATGCCTTTGTGTGTTTTTGTGTGTGTGTCTATGTCTGTACGTGTCTACTTTGTGTGTCTTTGTGTCTGCGTCTGCACGTGTCTACTATGTGTGTGTCTATGTCTTTGTGTGTCTTTGTGTGTCTATGTCTTTGTGTGTCTTTGTGTGTGTGTGTCTATGTCTGTACGTGTCTACTTTGTGTGTCTTTGTGTCTATGTCTGCACGTGTCTACTATGTGTGTGTGTCTATGTCTTTGTGTGTCTTTGTGTGTGTGTCTGTGTCTGTACGTGTCTACTTTGTGTGTGTGTCTGTGTCTGTACGTGTCTACTTTGTGTGTGTGTCTATGTCTTTGTGTGTCTTTGTGTGTGTGTCTATGTCTTTGTGTGTCTTTGTGTGTGTGTCTATGTCTTTGTGTGTCTTTGTGTGTGTGTCTATGTCTGCACGTGTCTACTATGTGTGTGTGTCTATGTCTTTGTGTGTCTTTGTGTGTGTGTCTATGTCTTTGTGTGTCTTTGTGTGTGTGTCTATGTCTGTACGTGTCTACTATGTGTGTGTGTATGTCTTTGTGTGTCTTTGTGTGTGTGTCTATGTCTTTGTGTGTCTTTGTGTGTGTGTCTATGTCTGCACGTGTCTACTATGTGTGTGTGTCTATGTCTTTGTGTGTCTTTGTGTGTGTGTCTATGTCTTTGTGTGTCTTTGTGTGTGTGTCTATGTCTTTGTGTGTCTTTGTGTGTGTGTCTATGTCTGTACGTGTCTACTATGTGTGTGTGTCTATGTCTTTGTGTGTCTTTGTGTGTGTGTCTATGTCTGTACGTGTCTACTATGTGTGTGTGTCTATGTCTTTGTGTGTCTATGTGTGTGTGTCTATGTCTGTACGTGTCTACTATGTGTGTGTGTCTATGTCTTTGTGTGTCTTTGTGTGTGTGTCTATGTCTTTGTGTGTCTTTGTGTGTGTGTCTATGCCTGTACGTGTCTACTATGTGTGTGTGTCTATGTCTTTATGTGTCTTTGTGTGTGTGTCTATGTCTTTGTGTGTCTTTGTGTGTGTGTCTATGTCTGTACGTGTCTACTATGTGTGTGTGTCTATGTCTTTGTGTGTCTTTGTGTGTCTTTGTGTCTATGTCTGTACGTGTCTATCGGATCCGCAGCATCCTGGGTCTGCCCCGTGACCTCCTGCCGGCGGGCGTTCGACACTTCACGTGGCCTTAACGTGCACCTAGCCTGGCACAGGCGTCGTGGTGACGTCCCCGCCACTTAGTGGCGATTATTGTTGTTGTCTATAGCCGTGTGTGTCAATGTCTGTATTGACGTGTCTGTTTGTGTGTGTCTACATCTGTGTGTGTCTGTGTGTGTCTACATCTGTGTGTGTCTATGTGTGTCTGTGTGTGTCTACATCTGTGTGTGTCTGCGTGTCTGTGTGTGTCTACATCTGTGTGTGTCTATGTGTGTCTGTGTGTGTCTACATCTGTGTATGTCTATGTGTGTCTGTGTGTGTCTACATCTGTGTGTGTCTCTGTGCGTCTACATCTGTGTGTGTGTCTATGTGTGTCTGTGTGTGTCTGTGTGTGTCTATGTGTGTCTGTGTGTGTCTACATCTGGGTGTGTGTCTATGTATGTCTGTGTGTGTCTGTGTGTGTCTATGTGTGTCTGTGTGTGTCTACATCTGTGTGTGTCTATGTGTGTCTACATCTGTGTGTGTGTCTATGTGTGTCTGTGTGTGTCTGTGTGTGTGTCTTTGTGTGTCTACATCTGTGTGTGTGTCTATGTGTGTCTGTGTGTGTGTCTATGTGTGTCTACATCTGTGTGTGTGTCTATGTGTGTCTGTGTGTGTCTGTGTGTGTCTATGTGTGTCTATATCTGTGTGTGTCTATGTGTGTCTGTGTGTCTACATCTGTGTGTGTGTCTAGTGCAGCGGTTAGCGCGCTGCGCTATAAGCCCGGCGACACGAGTTCGATTCCCACTCAAGGCCAACACCAGTGACGATTATCTGAACCGGTCCTGGGCCTCCCCTAGGTCGACTCAGCCTCAAATGAGTACCTGGTGCGGTGTGTAAACATTGCCACTAGGGAGACAAAGGCGGTCGGGCGTGGTGCTGGCCACCCACCCCCTCGTGTACCGTTCCGGCCTTCATAGGTGCTTTACCGAAAAAAACCTAAGAATAGTCTGTTAAAGGCTATACGGGGGTTATTAGTTCTTTGTGTGTCTGTGTGTGTGTCTATGTGTGTCTACATCTGTGTGTGTGTCTGTGTGTGTGTGTGTGTCTATGTGTGTCTACATCTGTGTGTGTGTCTATGTGTGTCTGTATGTGTGTCTATGTGTGTCTACATCTGTGTGTGTGTCTGTGTGTGTCTACATCTGGGTGTGTGTGTGTGTGTCTGTGTGTGTCTGTGTGTGTGTCTATGTGTGTCTGTGTGTGTCTACATCTGTGTGTGTGTCTATGTGTGTCTGTGTGTGTCTACATCTGTGTGTGTGTCTATGTGTGTCTGTGTGTGTCTACATCTGTGTGTGTGTCTATGTGTGTCTACATCTGTGTGTGTGTCTATGTGTGTCTACATCTGGGTGTGTGTCTATGCGTGTCTGTGTGTGTGTCTATGTGTGTCTGTGTGTGTCTGTGTGTGTCTACATCTGTGTGTGTGTCTATGTGTGTCTGTGTGTGTCTACATCTGGGTGTGTCTATGTGTGTCTGTGTGTGTGTCTATGTGTGTCTGTGTGTGTCTGTGTGTGTGTCTATGTGTGTCTGTGTGTGTCTGTGTGTGTCTATATTTGGGTGGGGAGCGGTGGTGTAGCGGTTGGCGCTACGCTGCACTACGAACCTGGCGACCCGGGTTCGATTCCCGCTCACGGCCAACACCAGTGACGATTATTTCAACCGGTCGTGGGCCTCCCCTAGGTCGACTCAGCCTCAAATGAACACCTGGTGCGGTGTGTAAACATCGCCACTGGGGAGACAAAGGCGGCCGGGCGTGGTGCTGGCCACCCACCCCCTCGTGTGCCGTGCCGGCCTTCATAGGTGCTCGCTAACAGCACTTGCCCCAACAGTCTGTTAAAGCTACACGGGGGATCTTTGCCTTAGTGAATACACGTCACGTGACTGTAGTGAATACACGACACGTGTCTATAGTTATAATCAATACGTGATTACAAATATTTAGCTGTAATCAATACGTGGTTACATATCTTTAGTTGTAATAAATGCATGGTTACAGATCTTTAGTCGTAATCAATACGTAGTTACAAATCTTTACTTATAATCGATGCATGGTTACAGATCTTTAGTCGTAATCAATACGTGATTACAAATCTTTAGTCGTAATCAATACGTGGTTACACATCTTTAGTCGTAATCAATACGTGATTACAAATCTTTAATTGTAATCAATACGTGATTACAAATCTTTAGTTGTAATCAATACGTGATTACAAATCTTTAAAGTTCTAATGCCATTGTCTACGCGTATTAGGGAGGCTGAACGGTTTTTGAAACTTTTTTTTATCTGAGAAAAACATCGCGTTGCTATTTGTGTAGAATATGAACGGCTCAAGTTGGTACGTATTTAGACTAAGACGACACATCTCCCCCCCCCCAATATTCAAATAAATAAATTGCTATAAAATATATAATTGCTATCTATGTAAATAAAAACAACAATTTACTAAACATTGGCCACAATATCTGGCCTTGTCTTCATATAAATCAATGCATAGATTTCTGTTTATATGATTGTGATTATGGTTGTACTTTATGAATCCCTAATCTCTGCCATTACATACAATGAAACAAGAAATGGTAAAACAGTAAAAACAGAGCGATGTAATAGAATACACTATTAGACATTAAAACCAATAAAAATCCATTCTATGTGTTAGTGAATTTTTTATATATATTATAGGCAGAAAATGAGTTTGCAAATGTTGATGTTTTTTTGGGTTGGGACCCCCAGACCCCCTGGGAGATTTGGTCCCCCCAATGTTGACTCCATGGCTACAGCCTTGGGGTGCTGTATGGCCATGCTCTTGGTGAAGTGGACGTGCCGGCCCATGTTAGACAAGACCAAAAGACACAATAAGACTCCACAAAACCCTTCATCCGGCCCTGCGTGAGTCGATGTCGGTGTGTGCCGTTGTGTCTGCGTGTCTCTGTGTGTCTGTGTGTCTATGTGCCTATGTCTGTGTGTCTTTGTGTGTTTATGTGTGTGTGTATGTCTTCGTGTGTGTCTGTGTGTGTGCCTATGTCTATGTGTGTGTGTCTATGCCTGTGTGTCTGTGTCTATGTGTCTAAGGCTATGTGTCTATGTCTGTGTGTGTGTCTATGTCTGTGTGTGTCTGTCTGTGTGTGTCTATGTCTGTGTCTATGTCTGTGTTTATGTGTGTATGTGTCTATGTGTGTGGATATGTGTGTGTCTATGTCTGTGTCTATGTAGGTCTGTGTGTGTGTCTATGTGTGTGTGTCTGTGTCTATATCTATGTGTGTCTATGTCTGTGTGTCTATATCTGTGTGTCTATGTGTGTCTGTGTCTATGTATGTGTCTATGTCTGTGTCTATGGCTGTGTCTATGTAAGTCTGTGTGTGTCTATGTGTGTGTGTCTGTGTCTATGTGTGTCTATGTCTGTGTGTCTATGTCTGTATGTGTGTCTGTGTGTGTGTCCGTGTGTGTCTATGTCTGTGTGACTATGGCTATGTGTGTGTGCCTGTGTGTGTGTGTCTATGTGTGTCTGTGTGTGTCTATATCTGTGTGTCTATGTCTGTGTGTCTATGTGTGTGTGTGTGTGTTTGTGTGTGTCTATGTCTGTATGTGTGTCTGTGTTTGTCTATGTCTGTATGTGTGTCTATGTGTGTCTGTCTGTGTGTCTATGTGTGTCTGTGTCTATGTGTGTCTATGTCTGTATGTGTGTGTCTGTGTGGGTCTGTGTGTGTCTATGTCTGTGTGTCTGTGTGTGTGTCTATATCTGTGTCTGTGTGTGTGTCTATATCTGTGTCTATGTCTGTGTGTCTATGTGTGTGTCTGTGTGTGTGTCTGTGCGTATGTGTGTGTTTATGTGTGTCTGTGTGTCTGTCTGTGTGTGTGTCTATGTGTGTCTGTATCTATGTCTGTGTGTGTCTGTGTGTGTGTCTGTGTGTCTGTGTCTATGTCTGTGTGTGTGGCTATGTGTGTGTCTATGTGTGTCTGTGTCTACATCTGTATGTGTGTGTCTGTGTGTGTGTCTATGTGTGTGTGTGTCTATGTGTGTCTGTGTCTATGTGTGTCTGTGTGTGTGTCTATATGTGTCTATGTCTGTGTGTGTCTATGTGTGTCTATGTCTGTGTGTGTCTATATGTGTCTATGTCTGTGTGTGTCTATGTGTGTCTATGTCTGTGTGTGTCTATGTGTGTCTATGTCTGTGTGCGTGGGAGTAGTGGCGTAGTGGTCAGCGCACTGCGCTACGAGTTCGATTCCCGCTCACGGCCAACACCAGTGACGAATATCCGAACCGCTCCCTGGGCCTCCCCTAGGTCAACTCGGCCTGAACCGAGTACACAGTGGTGCGGCGCGTATAAAACATCAGCAGCGGAGAGACAAAGGCGGCCGGGTGTGTGTGCTTTTCCCCCACAGCACTTGCCCCAACAGCCGTGCCTCAGCTACACGGGGGACCTTTGCCTGTGTGTCGAGCGAATCAATGCGGTCCAAACAATCCACCTGCCCATCAAGTCAACTCCACATTCTCAGTGACTCGGCTCACCTGGGAAGTTTGTGGTGGTGGAGTTGGTGGTTGAGTCGGTGGTTGAGTCGATGGTGGAGTCGGTGGTGGTGTAGTTGGTGGTGAAGTTGGTGGTGGAGTTTGTGGTGGAGTTGGTGGTGGAGTTGGTGGTGGAGTTTGTGGTGGAGTTGGTGGTGGAGTTGGTGGTGGAGTTTGTGGTTAAGTTGATGGTGGAGTTGGTGGTTAAGTTGGTGGTTGAGTTGGTGTTGGAGTTGGTGTTGATGGTGGAGTTGATGGTGGAGTTGATGGTGGAGTTTGTGGTTGAGTCGGTGGTTGAGTCGGTGGTAGAGTTTGTGGTTGAGTTGGTGGTGGAGTCGGTGGTGGAGTCGGTGGTGGAGTTGATGGTGGACGAGTTGATCCTTCTTCGGAATAAGACGACGACGACGAAGACGGCGACGACTAGAACGATGTTGCTGAATGACAACTTGAAGCGAAGTGGGGACTGCCCCTTCGCTCCGTCTCACCGACTTGCTCTCGTGCGAGGTAGGAGGGGGCTGCGTGCGGGTGGAGTGGGCGGGGAGGGGGGCGGGCGACGTGGTGGTGGTGGGGGGGAGATTTGGGGGAGGTGGGTGGAGTTGGGGATATGATTTCGTGGTCAAAGGGATTTCCCCGACTGTTCGGCAGAGGTCGCAAAACGGGTTTTGATTCCTTATCCGTACCCGCAGTGACAAACGGCTACTCACCAGTAACTCACGGCCTACCCGTACCCGTACCCGGCCGCACCAGGGTCGCAAACGGCTACCCGGCCGGGTACGGGTAGCCGGGTATCGGGTTGGGTACGGGTATCGGGTACCCGGTTGCGACCTCTGCCGTTCGGATGCCAATAAAATGCTGGAATTGTCAACGTCGTTGTAGCTTCTCCATCACACGACCGGTTTGTGCCCAACGCGAATTGGCCGATTTTGTTCACGTGACAACCTTCACTCATCGGCCGTGTCGGGTGGTGGCGGGTTTAACGACCCCCCCCCCCCAATCACGCCTCGTCGCTCACGGCACTCGTTTGACCATACTTCACCACGCGCGTGTCGGTGCGCGTTGACGAAAGAGCCTTCAACTCGCACGCGCGATGTCTTCGACTTTCCGATCGGCGTTCCCTGTCCGCCTCTTTCTCGGCGATTTTTGCTGAGAAACCCAAAAATATTTTTTCCCATTTAAACCGCCAATAGACCACTATCATCATTTTGTGGAGTGACTCATGCAGCCAGCTATGGCTGCAGAGTTTGGTAGTACATGTTGTTTACGTCGTTTATTGTGAAAATTCGGTCACAGTTCCTATGATCACTGTTTCATTGCTTTTATGGCTTTATTTTGGTGATTTTTGAAAAGTTTTTTGTTTTGGCCATGTTTGTTTGTTGTAGTACAGAGTTAGACTGATGGCCTTAATCTAAGTTGTCTTATGGTTGTTGTTGTTTGACTTGCATCCCACTGGGATTTTTGCACACAGTGTCGGTGTACGGTGCACGGTGCTTTTTCTGCAGTATGTTGCTGTCTTTTCTTGGATTTTCTGTTTACACTTAGTCACGTAGTCACTTTAAGATGTATTCTTGTTCATGTTTTTGTTTTCTGTTTGTTGCGGTTGCACCCGATTCAAGAGCCGAATGGCTCACAGGGCTCTATACCTAATCAATGAACTTGAACTTGATCTTCGTCGCCATCGCCGCTCGTCATCGTCACGCGAGCCTTGCGGTCCATGGTCGCCGGGGATTCTTTGGCGAAACATCGCCGCGTCTTTTAGAACACAAACTGATTCTCAACGCTGGTCCTGTTGGCTTTGCTCGGTGGTTCTTAAACTTTCACCGCAGCCTTGCCACCTCGTTGGTTCTCAATCGTAAAAGAAATGTACAGTGTCAATAAATAAATAGGGGTCAATGAAACAAAGTTGTTGTTGTACCTACGTGGCCGTGTTTACTTTGTGTTTTTGATGTTTGGACCGAGAGCTGTAAGTTCAACTGCCGCGCAATAGATGGCGGTGATGGCACCTACATCTGCAAAAACGTGAAGAACCAGTGGCACCTACATCCACAGAACATGAAGAACCAGTGGCACCTACATCCACAGAACATGAAGAACCAGTGGCACCTACATCCACAGAACCTGAAGAACCAGTGGCACCTACATCCACAGAACATGAAGAACCAGTGGCACCTACACCCACAGAACATGAAGAACCAGTGGCATCTACATCCACAGAACATGAAGAACCAGTGGCACCTACATCCACAGAACATGAAGAACTAGTGGCACCTACATCCACAGAACATGAAGAACCAGTGGCACCTACATCCACAGAACATGAAGAACCAGTGGCACCTACATCCACAGAACCTGAAGAACCAGTGGCACCTACATCCACAGAACATGAAGAACCAGTGGCACCTACATCCACAGAACATGAAGAACCAGTGGCATCTACATCCACAGAACATGAAGAACCAGTGGCACCTACATCCACAGAACATGAAGAACTAGTGGCACCTACATCCACAGAACATGAAGAACCAGTGGCACCTACATCCACAGAACATAAAGAACCAGTGGCACCTACATCCACAGAACACAAAGAACCAGTGGAACCTACATCCACAGAACACAAAGAACCAGTGGCATCTACATCCACAGAACGTGAAGAACCAGTGGCACCTACATCCACAGAACATGAAGAACCAGTGGCACCTACATCCACAGAACATGAAGAACCAGTGGCACTTACATCGCCATGGCGGTGACGGTGGTAGTGGTGGTGGCGGTGGTAGTGGTGGTGGCGGTGGTAGTGGTGGTGGTGGTGGCGGTGACGGTGGTGGTGGTGACGGTGGTGGCGGCAGTGGTGGTAGTGGTGGTGGTGGTGGCGGTGACGGTGGTGGTGGTGGTGGCGGTGACGGTGGTGGCAGTGGTGGCAGTGGTCGCGGCGGTGGTGACGGTGGTAGTGGTGGCGGTGGTGGCGGTGGTGACGGTAGTAGTGGTGGCGGTGGTGGCGGTGGTGACGGTGGTGGCGGTGGTGACGGTGGTAGTGGTGGCACGCGCTTGGGGCTGTTGACACTGCGCGGGTCTCAAACTCCGTGCGCTTCACGGGGTTGAGAGAGGAGAGACGGGGAGGACAGGGAGGGGGTGACAAACGGGGCGATGACAGGGCGATGACAGACGGGGCTATGACAGGGGGAGACGGGGACGGTCTCCGTGTGAGAGGACGTCGGTCGCACCGTTGGAACTCGGCTCCCCCCGGGTCCTGAGCGAGCACGGAGCGGCGAGGTGACGACGGCGACGTCACGGCTTGTAAGGAATCAATAATGTAAACCAGTAATCAGTACAACAAGTTGGCTTTGGCCACCGATATCATCCATAATAGAGGTTTCTTTGGGTTAGATTGCAACTAGCTTAATGAGGCGAAAGCCTGATGATGCCAGTTGTAATTACTGGCGCAACGTCGTACTCAGATTGTAAATGTTGTGGCTTGGCTCTCCAACACACCGGTGTGCTCTACTAGTACACTACACTATACACTACACTATACACTACACTACTATACACTACACTACTATACACTACACTATACACTACTATACACTACACTACTATACACTACACTACTATACACTACACTATACACTACTATATACTACACTACTATACACTACACTACACACTACACTACTATACACTACACTATACACTACTATACACTACACTACTATACACTACACACTACACTACTATACACTACACTATACACTACACACTAGTGCTGTACTAGTAACGAATTGGCCACGTTCTGTTTACGTGACAACCCTTACTAGTTGGCTGTGTCGGGTTGGTGGCGGGTTTTAACGACGCAACATTTATATTTTTACGCGATCTAACCCAAAAAATGGACCAAATAATTAATAATGCTCCACTGCTCACAATGTCCAATTGACTCGGCAGTCCAGCTGAGAGGCGGATTAACACAGATAGGACAAGAGGGTTAAAAATACATTAAAAAACGAGAATGCATCGTGATTGAAAATAGAAAACAAGCGAAGGTGAGGAGGCGTTAAGGTTACATGCCGCGAGGTGACGTCACACCGTGCCCTTTGTGTTGCGACTTCTTTCGCGCCGTACATAGCCAACCGTGCTAATCGAAGCTTCCTTGTATGGTCCTCCAGCCCGAGACATCGGTGACGCAGTCGCAAGGGATTGTTGCCCGCAGGTAACGAACAACCACCAAGACCACGTTCCATTAGATTGTGCAATGGACCAAAGTAAACGTGAGCTCTTGTGTTGTTGACGCCGGATGTTTGATTTTTTAAAACTTTTACCAGATAAGGCCACATTGAGCTGTATAAGCTCGTTTCTTTTGTCAGAAGCGGCCTGGCTATTACAAATGATAGCTGAAAGAAAGCGGCTGATATCATCGCGTGGAAATATATAGCGGCCAAATAACACTAAACTCCTGTACACCAGGCGAGGTAGTTAACATCTCATAGCCACCGTGATGATGATGATGAGAGAGACACGCAAACTCCAAATATACAGCAGCAGGCGTCAGGGTCGGGATTGAACCCACGACCTCCTGTGTACCAGGCGAGGTAGTTAACATCTCCTAGCCACCGTGATGATGATGACGAGAGAGAGACACCGCAAAGTCTAAATATACAGCAGCAGGCGTCAGGGTCGGGATTGAACCCACGACCTCTTATGTACCAGGCGAGGTAGTTAACATCTCCTAGCCACCGTGGTGTCCATACTTCGACCCCGGCTGAACCTCGCCCTGACTGCAGGCCGCAAGAGATGGAGAGCCACTGGCCACTCCGGCTGAACTCGAAGCAGTTTCGCGGTCATCCTCTAGCCTGACATGCAACTCTGTGGTGCCCAGGTGAGCCGTACCAGGTGACCCATATTAGGTTGGTCATATAGGGCGAGCCATACCAGGCAAACCGTACCATGTGAGCCACACCGGAGAAGCCAGGAGAGCCGTACCGGGTGAGCCATTCTGGGCAAGCCATCCATACTGAGTGAGTCATTTGGGTTGATCATACAAGGTCAGCAATACCGGGTGAGCCGTACCAGGTGAGCAATACCGAGTGAGCCACACCGGGCAAACAATTCTGGTCAAACCGTACCAGAAGAGCCATACCACGTGAGCCATATCGGGCACGCCATTCCGGGCGAGTCGGGAAAACGCGAAAGCACACAGGGTGGCGGCTTCCCACGCTGCACGTGGGATGGTAGCAGCGTGGGTTGGTGGACCGCACTCGAAACGTCGTGAAACTCCCTTGCCACGTGCGTCGAGGGGTGTGCCGTACCTCTAGGCTCGCCATTGGAAGGCCGGTAGAGCAAGTCGAGTGATTCCCATCGGTATGGGATCGAGTGTTGCCCCCTCGCACACGTGGGTTTCTCCGTGTTTCCTTCAACACTCATGAAGTGACTGAAACCGCCATGCTGTATAGAGGACCGCAGAGCTTGGAGGGGGACGGGATTTGGCACCAGCTCTGCACCACGT